TACAGATGTATGAGAGCCAGCCAGAAGGCACAGCTGGGTGCAGTGGGTACAGGAGAACAGTCACTTCTCTGCTGCTCAAATATCTCATTTGTCTGAGGGAACAACCCCTGGTCTTTGAGAAGGGTGCTTCCCTTGGATCCAAGTTCCTGGATTCTAAAAGGAGTCAAGTAAGTGCTCGTCTTTTCAAAATGAAGCTCTAAGAAATAGCTCTGCTGGTGCTTTTCAAAAATTATCTTCTGGCCAGAAAAATGAGATGAGAGCCCTGGGAACCCTTCAGTTCCAGTGAGATTGGGATGGAAAGGAGCCACCTTGTGCTCAGCCTGATTCAGAGCCAAGAGTGTGCCAGGATTTGGTGCAAATGGGGTTGATTTGTGCCTAAACTTGGTTCTCTAAAGCAGACATCTGGTCTAAGCCAAACACCTCCCTCTCTGTTCAGTGGGCAGAGGAAAATCAGAATTTTATCCAGCCGAACCTGAGTCTTTAGTGTAGGGTAGGTGTGATTAATTGTCTCATGGAAGCATCTACTGTTCTCTGCCTGGCATAAGGAAAGATATAAAACTTTCAATTGTATGATGTGAGACAAAACCAGACAAATTTCCTCACTCCCATTGATGCTACTGAGAATTAGAAATCCATGCACCTGAAGGGTCCTTGACCTTTATTGCTTTTTTTGTGTCTTAATTATCCCTTTCCTCATTTCTGAACATTCACATCTACTTAAGATTCTGAGGAATTCAAGTTCCTAAATAATAAGGCCATAAAAGCACAATAAATCAGCAAGGCATTAATTTGATCTTGCATATTAATGAAACTTTTTGTTCTAATGCTACGAACAAGAACGCCCAAACATTTTTTTTAATTTCTATCTCAATAATTTTATTATGTAACCTAGCATTTCTCTGTCTATCAGGGATCTATTGTTCCCATATCACTAAACAAATTTTTAGTGATGTTTCTAAGTACAAAAATCGCAGTACAAACTGATTGCCATGGGAGAAAAAGTCAACAGGAAATATATTTTTAGGAAACAGATAATTGCTTGATAACTTTAATATGTAGGAAATATGGGTGGGTGGGAGAAAAACAAGAAGAGCTTCAGAGGAAATATTTTCTTTTTGGAACAGAGGGGTTCACAAAAAAATGCAAGTTTGATCAAGGCATGAATTCACACATGGTGATATGCTGCATTTCTATTTTGCATCAGCCAAAAAAAAAGAGTATAATTCAAAAGAATTAATCAGTTGATAAAATGGAAGTAATTTCAACTTTTCTGCTTCCAGATTTTTCTCCAGCAGTCGTTCAACCTAGATTTTGTTGGCATTGGTCTTGCTTTCTGTGCCATTGGAACCTCATTCACAGAAAGGCTTTCAAATCTTTATTTTGTTGGAATGACAAAGTCAATGAATTAGAAGTGTTTCTATTAACTTGGGACCTGATTCTGTCAACATTTATGCAGGTGCCTAATTAATTCATGTAGTTAGGCTGAGAGATTTTAATGGACCACATTTTTCAGTCTAAGCATATGTGTGACTGCTTTCAAGGCCACAGCTCAAACTAAGAAACCAATGTTTAATTTTTCCCCAGAAGTATTGATTTGCTTCTGAATCTAAAATTTATAGCCAATTTCTCTGTGCATAATAAATGAATCATTCTCTGTCTGATACATCTGCAAGTTTTAACTCCAGATTCAAATGCATGCCTTTGCCTGAATTTTACTTGTGGTTTTTTCACCTTTGGCACAGGAAGATCCTTCTTTGTGTGGTAAATAATAAAGGAAAACTGGAGGGTTTTTTTTTCATGGAGCTCAATAATATTAACTGGAGAATAATGCATTTGTCCACTCAATTTTCTCATTTTCAAAACCTTCACTGCATTAAATGACAACATATGCTTAGAGAAGCAATAAGTAATAGCCCCCTATTAAAGGTGTTTTTTTCTTGCTTGTCCAATCAAAAGTCAGCACTGATGTGAAAATACGATTGGCAAGCAAGCAAGCATAAAGCAGTTTCATATCTATTCCCATTTTGAAACAGCAGATAATGTTTACATGTCATAATGTAAGTTAGGGACTAAATTATAGTCAGGTCTGCAAAATCAGAACTGGTCAGAGAAGCTTCCACACCCAGTGGAGGTAATAAATGTGGTCAGGAATGAATACCTTGTGTTCAGGAATATGAATAAAGTGTAACTTTCCACCTTACATCCATTTAACTTACATTCTCCTTGTTTTCTTCTAAGAATGTCATATGTGGCCATGACAAATCCAGCTGTGTCATATCTCCTTTCCCCCCATCACTGCTCTGTCAGGGGAAATATTGTAAAAGCTTGGTGCAACTTATTGCCACGAATCTGTTGCCTGTCCAGCATCTGCTGATTATTTACAGATAATTAAACATTAATTGCTCCATGTCAAGTTTAATTTTCTTTCTAGGTGAAATAAAATTTCACCTAGAAATAAAATTTCAACTGAAATTATGTTGAATATAATATAAATCTTCCTTCCTTTCTTCTCTACCTTTACAATAACCTTTATATTAGGATTATATACCTTTATCTAAAATAAACAAGTGCTTCCTTTTTTTTTTTTCTTTTCCAAATCCCTGGAATTTTCACCATTAATGTTTTTCTTGAGTTCTCCAAAAATGGTTCAGAAATTGCTTTGATTTTTTTTCTTAAGAACTGCAGGGTTAATTTTACTATACTGTTAACTTGAACACATATGTAAAAGATAAATTTCCTTATGCTTATGTAGATGTTCTTCAAACTGCCTATTCCTAATTCAGGCCTGTTGCACCTACTATTAATTATATCAAATATCTGACCACCTCTGCTAGTTAAGAAATTTTAGACAGAAATTTAAGGTTAAATTTAATTTAACCATAACCATTACGGTACTTTACCTCCCTTTTTTTTATTTTTTATTGCTGTCCTTATTGCATCTCTAATATTAGAGATTGTTTTATCTCAACAACCTGATATAATTTATTTTTTATTCTTTAGGTTTACTTGTTTATATTGCATTTTTAATGATTGCTTTTTGATATTCAGTCTTGAGACTTCCTTATGCAATCATATTAGTCTCGTACTACACTTTCAAGTGTTCTATTAATTAAGGCAATTTGATATATGCGTTTATTAAATACTCTTTCCAAAACTTTCATCTCTCTTAAAATCCTTTTCTAATTAAAATGTTTCCCCTCTGCCTGGCAATGTTTTGTTAATGTTTACTTTTGTAAAGTCTATTGCTGTTGTCACTTTTTCCTGTTTCTCCTGTGTATCCCAGGAACTTACTGAACGTTATCTGCATGGAAAATACAAATCTGTTCTTTCATCTCTCTCTATGAACAGATATATATATATATATATATATACACATATATATAGTGATGTATAAACTAGATTTGAGTCACTGTATCCCTTTAAAGGTTTCCTCATTTGCATCCAATGCGTAATATTTATATATACACACATATATATATATATATAGTGATGTATAAACTAGATTGGAGTCACCATATCCCTTTAAAAGTTTCCTCATTTGCATCCAATGCGTAATATTTAAATACCAGAAACAGAAAGTTTGAGTTCGTGGTTGCTGCCACTTCTTCAAAATGTAAACTATTCTTAAATAATGGGTTTTTGTGGTTTTACTTTAAGGCAGATACTAAATGTTTAAGAACATTTCGTCAAGAAGAAAATGTTGTTTCCTATCACAGTAGAACTTCCTGGGAAAGAATGTCACTGCTCTTGATGAAAAAAACACTGGAAATTCCCCTTTGTATTCATCAGTTGGGTTCAGGTTACCAGTAAGTGTATTAAAAATAGGGTTTAAGGAAAAGATGGGCAAAAAAGATAATATTTTAACAACAAAAAATAGGTAATAACTGTTGTGGGAATAATAATTTCCTGTTCTTCTAATTGTATTGCCAAAATAGTAAAGTCAGTGATACATGATCTGGATACGTAAATGCTAGAATAAAAGTGATGTGAATATGATGAAAAGATGGCTATCTATAAATCTTAAACTTGACCCTAGTTCCTCAAACTCTTAAGAATTAATCCAACTGCATCTTTTCATCCAGGTTTCTAATAAAACATTGGTTATGTTTGTCCTCTATGAGCACAGTCCTCCAATATTAATGTTAAAATTTTGAAGAGGAATAAACAAGTACAGGAATGTCGGTGCAGTATAATCAGTGGGACCTGATGTTCATGTTTGTGGGATTTTGGTTTCAGTTGTTAAAGGACTGATTTGGGGAAGAGTTATTTTCCTGCAAGCACAATGTGAAGAAGGTGATTATACCTTCAAAGGAATCCTTCACAAAATTTAAAGAAAAGTCTCTTGCTACTTCAAGTAATGCTCTGAAACCATTTACAAAAGTAAATAATAGCTTTAATTTCTATATTGAATAAGTTCATACCACAGTTTATAATATTTTTAGCCAATATCTATGGCTGTCTTGTGTTATAAACATGGTGATAGTGAAGAAACAGAAGATTCACTTAGGTGCCTTCACAAAAGTATATCCTTGATTTTGCATTTTGTCTCTTATAAAATTATTATTATTTAGTATGAGCTAGAGTGTAAGTTATGTAAATTAGCAGGCATAATGGCTACAGTTGACTTTGATCACATGATACAAATATTTGCTGTGCTCATTGCAGGAGGTAAAGCTCTTAAACAAACTTTACTAACTGCTCAGGTATTTGCAGCCTTTTAGAAGTTAGTAAATCACAGTTTTGGAAGGAAGTTTTCTATTCTTTGTTGCACGGTTGGAGGAGAGTATATAGGGATGGTTATTTCCATGTTATCAGATGAAGTGCCAGAGCTGTCCATGGGCAGGGTGGGTACAAACCCATCCATGAGCCTCCCTCTGCCTGGGAATTTCCAGGACCGTGTGCTCTGCTTCCTGGAAACTATCCATGCCCCAGAGCAGCAGAAAAGTGTTCAGGAGAGAACACAAACCTAATCCTCCTGCCTCTCCTTGTGTTTAACCCAGTGATGCCACGTTTTGCTGAGCAAGTGGAGGTGGCCATCGAAGCCCTGAGTGCCAACGTGCCCCAGCCCTTCGAGGAGAACGAGTTCATCGACGCCTCCCGCCTGGTCTACGACGGAGTCCGGGACATCAGGAAAGCTGTCCTGATGATCAGGGTATGTAAAGCACCTGGGGAGGGAGAAGTTGGGGTTTACAGGCATCATGGATAAGAGGAATGCAAAAGGTCCTTGGAATCAGCCTCGTTTTGTAATAAGGCATAAAAGATTGACATTGAAACAGGCATGAAACAAGTATATACAACAACAAAAGAATTAGTAAATAAAAAGATGAGGTTATTTAGTGGGTGAATCACAATTTGTATGTTAATCAGCTAGAAGTTTTGATCAGAACTGCCAATAGATTCAAACTTCATTACTGTTTCCATAGTAATAGCATTAATTTGCCAAGCTCTTAAAAGTTTGTGTAGATTTTTTGTTTGGGTGGGGTTTTTTCCCAATGTATGTGTGCTGCCTGGGATGTGAGGTAGGTCTGGTTAAAATCTAAATGAATAAATTATCTTGCTGCTCCAGTGAGCTACTGCAGGGATGGTTTTGAATGTTTACCAAGGTAAAAAACGTCATTTCAGTGTTGACTAACCAGTTGATTCAATTTGCTTAGACATCTTTTAATAAAATAAACAAACAAATAAAAGACACCACAGAACATCATTATTGTGATAGTAGGTGTATGTTGCTTTTCACTTTAGTCAGCAGACAAAGTCTTAAAAAGGGAAAGCAGCAAACCAAACCTGGTTTGGACATCTCTTCAGCAACTGAAAGTGTTATTTGAAACCCAAATTACCTTGAATCTGCCCTAATGAAAGCCATGTACAAGTAAAGCTATGGAGAAAATCACAGAGGAAATGTTGAGGCAAATAACAGGGCTGAAACATCAACTGATCCCTTTGAGCAAACAGGTAGCGTGCACTTGTGGTTGTGAGTGCATTATGGCACTGATGTAAGACTTCAGGCAGTTGGAACACTCCAAAATAGCTCCATTTTAGTCATCTGCCACTATGCATTAATATTTACAGAAAAATCTTTTGACAGGCTTAATTTCATAACTGCCAAACATAAATTCCATTCTCATACCCAGTGCTCATCCCAGGTGGCCTGAATTATAGTCCTGGCTTGTGGTGGGGGCAAACCCATCCTGTTCTCTGGGAGTGCAGTGTTAGAAGACTGGCAGGGAAGGGAAAGGGAAGGGGAGGAAAATCTTTACTTGAATTACTTCCCTGTGAGAGTGGTAGGGGCCTGGGGCAGTTTGCCCAGAGAAGCTGTGGCTGCCCCTGGATCCCTGGAAGTGTCCAAGGCCAGGCTGGACAGGGCTTGGAGCAACCTGGGCTGGTGGAATTTGTCCTTGCCCATGGCAGAGGGTGGGACTGGGTGAGCTTTAAGGTCCCTTCCAACCCAAACCATTCCAGCATTCTATGACTCTGGGAAATGAAAGATCTGCATAGTGAAGGGTCTGTGTTTTCCCTGTGATTTTCCAGTTCCTTAGTCGGTAACAACAGTTTCCAAAAAAAAAGTTTCACTTTTCTTATGACAAGAACAGCTGCTTAGCACCCTTTAATCTTTTCTAGTCATTTCAAACTGTGATTGTGGCACAGACTCAATCATCAGGTGGGATCTCCTATAAACCCAGGTTTTCCAATTCCCTACACAGAGTTCCATCTTCCAGCAACAGAGTTATCCCCAAGAGTTTGGCATGAGATGTCTATCCTGGTGAGATGTTTTTAAGTTTAAATTTTGAATTTTGAAGGCCTGATCACTTCCTTTGTCACTGCCTGACTGTTCTGTGTACCTGGAGAGCAGATTGACATTCAGGCTTCTCAGTCTCCTTGGGAAAATCCCAAGTTACTTTTTTACATTATATTACTATGACTTTCCACCCATTGTATGATATGAGGTAATGAATTCTGTTTGCCCAGATTAGGAAGATTTATTTTTGCCTTCAGACAATTAACTTATTTATGGAGCTCAATGTAATACTCCTTACCCAGGCAAAGAACTAAAGCACATAAACGGACTCATTATCCATGTGAGTTAACTGGAAAAATCCACATATAAAAGCTTACACAGACCAGAGTTTGCTGAATCAGAACCTTGTTTACTGTGGAAAACAAAATTAGTTTCACTTTGACATACTCTTTAACATTTCCATCTGAACATCTCACACTGAAAAAGGATGAGGCTATAAAAGCCTTTAGAATATTTTCATCTAATAATCTGTGAAATATTATGCACCCTTTAATTCAGGTGGTAAAACTTTTTCAGAATTGCAAAAAATGAAAAAATCCAGCCTTGCAAACTTTTTAGAGCATCTGAGACAATTATTTTCAGGCAGTGATTGTTCGTGTGCAAGCTGTGAAAGATTGAATTTATCTGAGATGAGTCCCCTCATGCCAGAGAGTAAATAAAGCCACTTTTTAAATTAATTTTAGTTGGTATTATTACTTTTAGTAAGCTGAAAGAAAGGGTAGATAGTCTCTGATCTTTTCTTTTTCCCTCAAAAGGAGAGAATTTATTGTCCCTCTGGAGGAGAAAGGAGACTAATTTTTTTCATTGAAGACAATTATTATTATCTATTCAGAAAAAAAATCTCTTTCACAAGTTAAGAAGTAGTAAAAATGAATTTAAGAGTATAATTATAGAACCCAGAAATAAAATAGAAAATAATAACTTCATTCCAACACCTTTCCTATTACTGTCTAAGGATGAAATTGCACTTTGTGTTTTCATAGCTGCTTATGAAATTCCCTCAGCTACTGGCCAGAAACCCTCTCTACAGTCAGAGGACTCACAATGGCAACTTTTCTCATTCTTATGCATCTCCAAGGCCACTTTATTGTTATATATTGTTTTTAAACATGGCCTTTGCCATTAGCAGCCTCTTCTTTAGAGGCATCTAGCTCAACCTGAGTGTTACATTTGTTTGGCTCAGGAGTGCACTGTTGGAGTCAATGTCCATGCCATGTTTTAGTTCATGTTACAGAGTAGAATTTAAATATCTGTAAATTTGATTCTTTGGGGGGGATACCTGGAGATGCTCTCTAGGTGCATCTCAGGACGCGAGGGAATGGCTGGAGCTGTGTCAGGATAGGTTTATGCTGGATATCAGGAAAAGGTTCTTCACCCAGAGGATAGTTGGGCACTGCAACAGGGTCCCCAGGGAAGTGGTCACAGCACCAGGTGTTAAGATCTGGTTATTAAAATTGTTGGAGAGATGGCTCTGCCTTTGTTAAGGTGCAAACAAGACCATATACTGAAGTTGATCATATGGATTTTATTTAACAGTAGTGTGAGGTAGAGAGAGAGAAAGAAAAAGAGGGGCAGGATGGGAGAGAAAAAGAATGACAGATTAAGCAGAAAATATCACCACTCTGTGGATCCTGACAGCATCTCACTGATCCTCTTTTACTGGTCTTCTCAGTGGTGAGGGTCCCACAAAACACAGGGTTAATGTATGTTTGGGTCACCTGCCAATGCCTGGTGCCTCCCCTGGGGGGACAAGTTTGAAACTCTCCATTAGAGCAGACTCTGGGTCTGTGGCATCACTTTGCATCACATGCAGTTCTCTGCTGCAGGGCCTCAGCAATGAGTCTGGGAGTGTTTTGGGGCACTTTCATGGTTTTCTGATGGTTTGTGACCGCTCCCCTGCTGCCCCTCATGTGAATGTTCTATGGATGTGGCTGCCCATCCATGGGTGGGTTTCACAACTGAGCCAGTTTGTGTAAGGCAGGGTGGTGTGGTATTCACATTCTCTGAACACAGAGAGACACAATTCTCTCTTCCAGGATTTTTCCTGGGGAAGGTAGTGAGAAGCTCAGAGAAGAGGAGAACACAATTCTTGTTTCTATTTGCTGTTCCTGTTGTTTGGCACCTGTGGAATGTGTTATGGAGATTGTTTACCAAGAGTGAGTGGTTAATTGGACTCTGCTGATGGTTGTTTGGATTGATTGGTCAATTTGGTCAAAGCTGTGTTGTGACCCCTGGTAAGAGTCACAGGTTTTTCTTTAGTAGTATAGTATCTCTTTACAATAGTTTTAATATAGTATTAGTGTAATCTAGTATAGCTTAATAAAGCATTTGTTCAGCCTTCTGAATCATGGAGTCAGAGCACATTGCATTGGGGTTGCCCAATAAGGTGGGCCTTCACTCCCTGTGTCATGCACCCAAAATCTCTCTTCCCTGCCATCAAACCACACTGATTCTGCTCCCCCAGCCTTGTTTAGATCTCCCTATACCTCTCTTTAGACCTGGACAATAGTACCACCTTTACATTTGCTCAAGTTCCCATCAGGTGGCTTAACTCACTGCCCAGTTCCCCTCAGGAGGCAGATTTGAATGGTGCTTCAGTGCTCACAGCTTCTTTATACAATTTTGCCATAATGGCAAAGTCCTTTTCTAGCAGTGTTTAAGCCATTAACCATTTCAGTCTCTCACACCAAGCCTGACAGAATTCAGGAAGCATTTGGATTATGCTATTAGGAGCAAATTGTGACTCTTGGGGATGTCCTGTGCAGGACCAGGAGCTGGATTTTGATGGTCCTTGTGAGCTCCTTCCAATTCAGGATATTTCATTCTATTATTAACTCCATTTCTATTCTATTCTGTCATTAAGGGATTTTTCTTTTTCTTGCGAGAACACCTCAGCAAAAATGACTGTGGGGTCCTCAGCCCCAGCTGTCTGGGTGTATTAAAGCTCTTCTCCTCTGCCAGACTTGTCACCTCTGGTGTAGCCACTGGGGTGGGGGTGAAATCCAAAGTGCTGCAACATTTCAGGTCCTCTGTAAAACAAGATTTGATGCAGAATCCCATCATCTTTTGAAACATCCTGTCTCCAAAGGGTGTCGTGGGGTCCAGTGTTTCCATTGAGTGCCTGCTGCTCCTCAGATTGAATTTGAAGTGTTAGATTTGACTGTAAATCACCAAACAACTGAAGACCTGCAGTGAGAGAGTGTCTCTGATTGAGGCTCTCAGGTGCTACTTGCAGCTGAGTCACTCTGGCTGTAATGGAACCACAACAAATCTACAGAATAGTGTGGAACTGGATTTAGAGCACCTTGTAAAGTCTGGGGTTTTTTTCTCCTTGTCTTTTAGAATTAGAGGAAATTTTCATTGTAAAAAATAGGGGAGGATATTTTAATCTCTTCAATCTTTGCTCTCATTACAAGGTTAGCTTGACTTGGTGTTAACAGTGCTGAAATTCTTGTAATTGCATCTTACAATTTTTAAATGCATGGCAAAGTGGGGTTTCTATCTTCATCAAGTACATTTGAGTTGGTGAAATATGAAACAAATAGCATTTATAAATCTGCATATATATGCCATTTTATTACTGTTACTTGTATAATTCACATCTTCACACTGCAGTCACAAAACATTAAAAAAATGACAAAGATGGAAGATGTTTTGTTCACAGCAAGCTCTTCAATCAAACAGCCAGAGAGATATTAAAATATGTATATATTCTAATGCCTGGAAGTTGAAAGTCACCACATTCATATTAAAAATAAAACATGCATCTTAAAAGAGAAAGCATATATTTATTGTGTGATTTATCTGGGATTGTGAAAATTCTTCTTCACTGGAAGACTTCCTCCGAGTTAGATGAATGTTGTGTGTAGTAGAGATACTGTATTTGAAAAAAAAATCTTGGAAACTCTTATGGCTTGTGCTACAAAACAGATTAAAAATTATGGAAATGGTCCATTTTTCTGCTGAAAGCAATCACTGCATGAAATCCATTAGTTTTGAATATTACTTGAGCTTCCTCTGCCACTGGTGGCTGTCAGCTCTGTTTGGAAGCTGTCTCCAACCTCAGATCTGTGATTCCTACGTTTGTGTAACCATAAATCCAGGTGTCTGCAAGATAGAATCAGTCTTTCCATCTTCCAGCTCAGAGAAATGAAGTCTCTGACTCTGTTGTCTTGGAAACAAGGTTTTAAATATCAAGGTCCTGTTAGTTGTGCACAAAAATTAGAGTCATTCTGGTGTGTTTAGAAGGCCTTGCTAAGAGTAGTCCTTTAAGTCAAATTCAATATAATTAATTTTTTTTGTACCTTTGTGTCTAAAGAGAAGGGAGACTCTATTTTATATGGGCTGCATCTCCAGGGGATCAGCTGAGACAAAGCAATGGTGCAATGGTGAAAAATGTGAAAATGTTTGAAATGGCAGCAAACAGATAAAAGTTAACCCCGCTGCTTAACCCTAATGCAAAATGCAGCTGTTTGGGAAAGAAAATGAGTGTGAAATTCACCACACTTGAAAATATGAAAAGAGTGAATCTGAAAGATCACTTTGAATTAGATCTCACTTGTACAGAGGGGAAATAGGAAGATGTCTTGGGCTTGTAGTATATTGCTAACAGTTGCATTACTTGCCCTTTTGGTTTGCACTACGTTTTCTCCAAGTTCAACATTTATACCCATTAAATTTCAGTCTTTTAAAGGCCACAGATTTCAAGATCATGAATGCCAGACGGTAACAGCAATGCATTTTTTTCTGGACTTATTCTTCAAGAATAAGTCCTTGCATAGAATTTTAAGAATATTTTTTTGTTTTTGAGAGGCAGCCTCATGTCCTTACTGGTTGCCATGTCAAGATGTAATATTTTGAATATTACATCTTTACTTCAAGTTCGACTATGAAAGCCTTGGAAAGGAATGCACATTATGTTTTATAATCTTATTTATGAAACTGGAGACAGAAGAAACTAGGAGGAGTATATTTGGGGTGTGAAAGGGTACTGGCTTTACAATGACCACTGAAACTGGCTCATTGAGAGGACTTGGAGGATGAGGAAGAGCCAGCTAGTTTATTGAAGCTCTCCACCCTCTTCTTGTTCTAAGCAGCAAAGCCTAGGCAGATGAAAAGCTGAGCCTTGTGATACAAAACACTCTTTGCTCAGGGAGTTGTAGGATTCTCTTTGTAGCTTGCTTGTTTATGACAGATTTTAATGTCTCATCCTGCCCTCGGGCAGCTGACCAGAGGAAACAAAGAGATTAGAGGTGATTGCAAAACAAGACCATTGGATGGGTACTAACCCTTCTATTTTACCTGTGACAGTAGAGAGAAGGTAAATTCATTTTTTCATCTGAACTTCCTCTCCTGCCTGGCCTGTTACACACACCACACACTCTCTGTGCATGCCTCTCTTCAGAGGTGCAGACCGAGTTTCATTACCACGCTGTCACACTTGGTTATTTCTTCCTCCAGCTCAGCACCAAAACACATATTTAATTCATACTGTCCAAGTCACACGAAGATGGCTGTGTTTTACTCTCCCCATCCCGTGCACTTCACTGTGCAGCTACAAACAGGGATGTGCACTTGGTGTTGGAAGCCAGGCTGGAACAGAAATATCACCAGAAGACTCCTCTGTGCTACGTTAGAGGGTTTGGAGCCATTCCTGGTGACTGAGCATCCCCCAGACAGAGCTGTAATGACAACTGGCAGTGATTAGCACCTCTGCTAGGAAACTTGACGTTGCCTCCAAGCACCAAATGCCAGCCTGGATGATTTCTTCTGTAGTGCTTTGGTCTTCCAGGCTGTCACTGGGGGTGATGGGGGTCCAGGAAGGTGAGGATTTCTCAGCAGTTACTATGGTTTTCTTTTCCTGTTACCTTTGTCATGCTTGGTACCCACAGAACTTACTCAGGCTGTTGTACCAGATTCGATTCAACCATTAAATGGAATATAATCTTCTTTCTAAAGATTCCACTTTTTTGCATCATCTATATTAAATATCATACTAAATACTGATTTTAAGACTATCTCTCTCTATATAAGTACATTTTTTTTCTCAGAACTTTTTGCTAGAAGGTGAAAAACCCCAAATGAACAGATCCATCATTTTTTTTTCTCCCTCCTTCCAACATTTTAAACAATCAGAAGCCTGAAAATATGTAACTTGATTTAATCAATCTTCCAGGAAACCTTCCCATCATTTGGAGCATTGGCAGTGGAGACATTGTTGTCTCAGCAGGGGAATGAGTCAAATTCCAAAGCTCTGTATATGAAAAGGACCATGTGAACTAACAAGATTACACAGATTATGAATTTCATGTTTGTTTCAAAACCAGTCGACATAATTTACAATTTCTTTCAATGGGAAATATTTTATTTGCTTTGATAAATTTTTCTTCCAGGATGTTAGTTGCTTTTTCCCAGATATTTACTTTCTCTTTTGAAGATTACATGCAGTTTCCAGTAACATAATAGTGTTAGTGTCCATTTATATATGAACTAACATTATTTTGAAATACTGCATTCCAGTTGTTAGTGTTTCCAAAGGATATTTGTTCCTGGAACTGCATTCATCATATTAACAAAGTTAAGAGAAATTGCAGCAAGAAAAGTTGTGGCAAGGTAATGACAAATGCCATTTGTAAAGAAAACTAGGGTTGAAACAATTTAATTTTTAAGACAATTCAATTTCAGTTCCTGACTGCTGGGGCAGACAAATTCATTTCAGAGGAGAACGGAGCAGCATTTCCTGGGCTGGTAGTCAATGAAATAAGAGCTCAATGTGCAGAGGACTTGCTCTGTGTCCTTTTTAAGTTTGTCATCTCCTCTCTGTGGCTTTTGTGTCTCTCTCCAGACCCCTGAGGAGCTCGAGGACGACTCAGACTTTGAGCAGGAGGATTATGACGTGCGCAGCCGAACCAGTGTCCAGACTGAGGATGATCAGCTCATTGCTGGCCAGAGTGCAAGGGTGAGTACAAGCCCCACACACCTCCAGTGAGTGTCCAGTAGTGACCCATAAATCTCTGCCTCAGGAAGCAAAGGCAGTGATTTCCAGTCCTTAGGGTTGTTTAAGAAAGGATGGGACCAGGCTGATGGAGCTGTTGAAGGGTTTTTTCATGTCAAGCCTATTTAAGTAGCATTTATTGAATGGTCTTGAGGCTTTTCTGGTGCCTAGTATCAGCTGCTTGCTCCAGCTAGTGCTGTAAGAGGAGGCTTTGCAGGTTTGGAATGTGCTGAAACTGTGGGAGTAGTCAGCAAATGTAAAAAAAAAAAAAAAAAAAAAAAAAAATCCCATCAGCACACCATGTGCTGTATCCAGAGAAATCCTACATTAGTCATGTTTCCCAGTGTGCAAACCTGTCAAGAAGATCTGTTTAAGCTACTGAGTAGTCCCTGTAATTTAATTGTAATTGAAGACATTTGCTACTGAGTCAATGTAATTTTACCAGGGTAATTACATCATGATAAACTCCAGTCACTGTGATTTGCGACCTCAGCTTGTGCATGGGGATTGCAAATTAAGCTGATGAGTGCTTCGGGAGTCACAGGTGCTGGGGAAGTGAAGTCTGTTAACACTCAGGAATATTCCTGTTAACACTCAGGACTATGCCACCCTCTGATGAATGTTTACCTTTTACTGAATAGTCTTCTCATCTCAGATTATTAAAAAAAAAACCCAGAATATAATTTTATGTGCCATGAAAATATACTTGACTGGAAAGAAAGGTTTTTTTTAAAGAAAAGCATTTTAACATTTTCCAGGAGAGAACCAGCAGGAAACTGGGAATTACCTGAATGATTTTCATGGCTGTTTCACACAAGTCTGATTTGTTCAGTTGTGCTAGAAGTGAAGCTATGGACTAAATAAGAAGCATTCTCCCCACACACTCAAACACCAGCAAAATTTGGTAACTGGAATGGGCATTTCTTACCTTGGAGTCTGGAAGAGGATTTGTAGGGCTGAGAACCTAAAGACCAGCAGGCAAAGATGCTGTGAAAGCTCAGAGGACCAGGACAGAGTTTTCAGCTGCTGTGGGTTGGGGCTTGACACAAAGACTTTACACCCTGAAAAGAAAGAGTGGAGTAACAAAAATCTGAAAGAAGCTTACTCAGAGGTGTGGGAGAAATGCAAGGCATGGATCCAGTGAAATGGGCAGAGATTTTGCTTTATCTTAAAATTATTTCCCTGAATATTGAATATAGATAGTAAATAAGCCATACCATGTATCAGAAAAACTGGAGTTTTATCATGACATCCCTAAGGCAAAAAATACCTAGATTCCTTACTGTGAGAGAATGGTGACAGAACTGTTCTGGATGTAGTTGACTCTCTTTTGTGATTTTTATATTTTAAAGGGCATAGACTCCTGTTTGAGATATTCAAAGTATTGACTACTAAAGCAAATCTCAGGTATAACAGAAATGACATAGAGTACAGATGATTTTGTCAGATTTCACAGCCTTTCTCATCTTTTGGTTACATTTAGGACTGGGTAGCATGTCATCCTTTCTTGATCTGAAACCCAAGTAAAGACTGCAGTAATTTTTCTTACTAAGAATCGAGCTCACCTGGGGATTTAGGAGTCTTAAATTCTGCTACATTTATTGTGGTTATTATTACTGCTGTGCTTAAATCCTTCTGCTTTGATCAGCTACACACTGTATAAACATAATATATCATAAAGACAGTTCCTGAATTACACAGATTGCAATGTGGCACAGGAAGCAACAAATCATAAAAACCTAAAAGGGAAACAATGCTAAGCAGAAGCTGCCCAGTCCCCAGTCTGGAGTTCTGAGCAGAACAGAATCTTAGCTAAATCTTTTCTGTGGAAAAAATGCAAAATACTTTTATTTGCAATGTAATTCATTTGTTTAATATGCTTAATGCTGGTAGTGTTTTAGTAGAAAGACCTGTGTTGGTCTTCAGTAGAAATAAAAGTGGAATTTACAGGCTGCGTTTGCTGTAGGTTATGGCTGCTTTGAAAGCACATCAGCAGATGGAACAGAATTATTAAAGCACTGTTTACTAGCTTAAAGAGTGTTCAGGTGAAGCAGCCTCTTGAACAAACCACAGGCAAGACATACAGATAAACTTCCCAAATTTTACTACTCCTATCACATTCTCTTAACTTCAGTTAATTCCTCAGTTGTGTTGTTTTATGTGCATTTTATATATTTATTTATTAATTTGACTCAAACTGCATTTTTCTGTGCAAAGACTATTATGCTAACATTTGAAACTGCTGAGTTACATTGATAAGGCCTAATTAAAACTCATCCTGAATTTTAATTTGATTAATTTGCAAATTTCTCATTTTCTGATCTACTGTTTATAACCCTTTTTAATTTTAGTTTGGGAAAAGGTCAATTACAAATTTTTAAAAGCCAAGAGCATTTTAAGAATATGTAGAAAAAGACTTCAGCTGATTGAAAGTGACATAAACAAGAAAAAAATGTAATGACACTTAAATATGTGTCACACCCCATTAAATGCATAATGTGGTCTTCAGAACCCCTAGAGCCAAATAATAGCTTAACTTGGAAATCATTTTTCAAAGTGTCCATTTGATCTTCAAAAGTAATTATTATAATTTTTTAGAGTGTTTTTGGAGAGGAGCAGAACTTTGTGCTTTGTTCATGCTGAGGCAGCTCAGTACCAACCTGTTCAGTGCCTTTTTGGATCTCTTCCAAGAGAAAATCAGAACACTAAATATCATTAAAATATACATTTGTTCCAATTCACTTCAAATGTATTGTCTTTCATGTCGTAGCTTATGTTAATGTTGTGTTAATGTGAAATCCTGTGTTTCTGACAGAGGATGAGACTAGGGGAGACAGAGCAATTCAGTCTGCCTTTTCCCATAAATGTCACTCGTTTTATTCTACCTCATAATTGAGATTTAATCCTCCTTTGTCTACTGGTGAATAATCACAACATCATAAATATAAATTTCATCATCTTGAAAGTTCAAGAAGAGACATAAACATGCTGTGAATGTGCTTTTACCTGTCATGACAGAAATCAAATGCCTACAAGATTTTTCTTGGCATCTTCAACTTCCATAAAAATTAACTCAAGCTGTTGGGACCACTGGAAAGATCCAGTCTGTATCTTCCTTTTTTTCATTCCCAACTCCTGTTCTTTCTCCAGGCTATCATGGCCCAGCTGCCCCAGGAGGAGAAGGCAAAGATTGCTGAGCAGGTGGAGATATTCCACCAAGAAAAGAGCAAGCTGGATGCAGAGGTGGCCAAGTGGGATGACAGTGGCAATGACATCATTGTGCTGGCCAAGCAGATGTGCATGATTATGATGGAAATGACAGATTTCACCAGGTAAGGACAAAATAACCCCAGTGAGGAGCTCAGATGGGCCACATCTTCCCTTCTCTGCTTGATTTGTACCCTTTTGGGATGATTTGCTGTGGTTTTAGGGATGCAAAGCCAAGGAACACTTATTTACACTGCTTTGGGTATTTGTCCAAGTGGGATTAATCACATGAAGTTTTTGTGCTATTTGCAAGTCTCTTTTATTTGCAGATCATTTTGTAAAGTTAGTCTGTGACCTTACAGACATTCCAGTGACATTTTGTTTAGTACCCATCTAAATGCATGTGCCTCTCTGAACTTTCAACATTTCAGCACAATTTGTGTCAATCAAAAATAATGGCAAAACTATTTATACCATTTGAACACTGAACTTCCTTCCAAAAAAAATCCCAAATGAAATGAAACAGATTTGATCTAATGATTCATGGGAGTCTGTCAGTAATGATTTTTTTTTTTGCTTTCATTTCTTTCCTCTATTGATGTCTTATTCTTCTCTAATTGCAGAGGCCATTCATTAATGATACAATGTAAACAGAAGTATTGTCTTTTACTATGGTCATATTGTTAATCACATCAGGGAGAAAGGTTTACAAGGTTCTTTGAATTCCAGATCACCGTAGTAAATTAAATTTTGTTCAGTGTTTATTTTTTAAGTGGGTTCAAAAGTTTAAATGGTATTTATCAAAACGTGATTACACAAAACAGGATGTAAATCTTCCTGGGTATTTTTTCAGGATTAAAATCAGACATCCATTTATTCATCTCTTTGTGTTACCCCATCCATGGAAGTGTTCAAGGCCAGGTGGTTGGGGCTTGCAGCAACCTTGGATAGTGGCAAGGGGTGGAAATGGATGGAGAGGATATTTTACAGAATTCTGTGTTACTTTTGTATTTGTATTGTCTTGGTGTCTCTGATCCTTCTGTCAACAAAAAACAGAGTGAAATCTGCCCAGATAGTGTCATTGTATCATGGCTGGAAAAAAAGATGTTCTAAAGCAACAGCCCAGAATATGCAAAGTTTCTGCAACCTCCTAGACAACCTTTGATATATTGAGCATGAAATTGGAAGTTTTATAATTGTATTTTCTAGCATCAAAAGAACAAAACTAATTTGAGAATGAGATAAAGACTACTGACACATTTGAAGTAAATAAAAAAAAAAATCAAAGTGCACCTCTATCTGCATCAGATTCAATAACAAGTTGTTTAATATATTCCATTAAAACAGAAACAAGCCTTTCACACCTTTTTGGTTGGCTGTAACCTCAGCAGTGTTAGAATAGAATAATTTTTCAAATGCATGGAGTTTATGACAGTCAGATCTGCTCATGTAATTAATGTAGAAGCACATGAGGTCATGGTATTCTTGCTGCAGTTGAAGTTCACCAGAAATGGGATACTTGTATTTCATCTGTTTAAAGTGGTAATGAAAGTCTGGAAAGAAGATTAAAATGGAAATATGTTTCAGCATGTTATTCTTGCCATTATAGATTTTTTAAAAATCCAAAAATAATGCAGTGTCGTGCTTAGAAAAAATGTCTTCTCTTTAATTAAAAAAAAAGTTTGATCATATTGTCATTTTCCACATTAAAAAAATGGAAAATGAACTCATTTCCAGTTGAGACTTTCTCAGGAGCAGCAACACTTTTATTGGTACAAACAGGATTAAAGTTTCGAGTCTGATGAAAACACAGAAATCTGTGGAGACCTCCTGTCTTAATACATTTTGGTAGTTTTAATGACTAAAATCAGAATTTTGTGCATCATCTTAAAAACATGGTGAAAGATCAGGGCTAAAGCTAATTATACGTGTTTTAAGTATAACATTCAAGTGTGTAACATAATGTTTATGCTTCACCTCTCTTTATTTTCCAACAAAAAATCTTCTAAAAAAAAGTTTTCTAAAACGTGACATTCTTGCCTTAGACATGATGGGTTGAACATTTAGCACTGGCTTGGGAATCACATCATTTTGAAATAGTTGTGTATTCCAGGAACAACACTGGCTTAATGAGCACTTAAAAATGCATATACTATTAAGTACAGCTCATGTGCTTGAAGGCACCATTGGACTAAATTGCCAGTGAGGCATTTTGTAAGGGCAAGGAAATATAGCAGAAAGATTTCTTAATCAAGCTGTACTACAAAGTACTTAAAAGGCAAAATTGTAATAAATTAAGAAGACATTTGTGTTACTATTTTAAAAATGAGCACTAAACAGGGTCACTAAAAGTGTTGCTTTTCATGATTTATTGCAATTGTGGATAACTATCTTGTATTCCACAGAGGGAAAGGGCCCCTGAAGAACACCTCTGATGTCATTAATGCAGCCAAGAAGATTGCAGAGGCAGGATCCAGGATGGACAAACTGGCACGGGCAGTAGCTGATCAGGTAGCCCCAAAATGAGCTGAAACACAGTGTAACTTCCATGGATGAGTTGCCTGTTGCAGGAAAAGTCTGTCTTACCAGAAAATTACCTGTTGAGAGTCTGGATCCTGATCTTCCCATTGGTTCTTCTAGACCCTCAGCCTTTTGCAGAACAGGAAAGTCATAAATGAGTCTCTCCAAAGCTCAGAAATGCCTGACTGGTTCCCCATCCTCACTTCTGGGCCTGAAAGAATCAGACAGAGACTCCTTCAGGCTGGAAAAGACCTGTGAGATCATCACATCCAAAATGTATTTGCTATTAAAAAAGCAGTAGGGATTTGGGTGCTCTGTTCCCCTTGCCAAGTGCCTAGGAATGCTTAGATTCTTTTCAGCTTATTCTTCCAGCAATTTCCCCTTGATTTGGCTCTTTACTCCTTCAAGGTTCTCTGTCTCCCTATTTTCTGGTTTGCCTCAGTGTATTGTGTATTTTGTGGGGTCTGTGTCCCCACTTCCTTTACCAAATTAATGTCACAGCCGGACAGATGACCTTGCTGTATATATATATCTTCAGATTTATCTATTCATCTGGAGAGCAAGAGGAAGAGTTGTATTAAAAGTCAAAAGCAAAATTTCAAATCCAGGTCCTACATAGCTAATTTTAGATTCAGACAAATTAAAATTCCCTGTTTCGCCCTTTGTAAATTTTCTATAGTTTCTTTCATTTCAATGACATCAAGAGAAAATTTGCTGGAAGTGGGAACTGGTAACTTCCTGGCCTCTAGTCTTTCTCTTCAAAATAAGAATGTTGTTTTCTTCTTCAAGTAGGAGTGTAACAGTGTGTAACACACCCTGCCATGGAATATGGGCCAGAGTGGCAAAATCCCCAAAGCTTCTGTCTTCCTGCAGCCTCAGAAATGTTTGGTTTAGGTCTTCTTCACCAGCAGCAAGCATTTTTCCTGCAGTTAACCCATTCCAGTCCTTCAAATGTAGCATCTGTTCATTTTAACACAAGAAAGAAGAAATCCATCTGTCAGCTGATCAAATTCCTGGTCTGCAGTGTTTGCAGAGGTGGAATATTTTAAAGAAAGAAACAGAAGGAGACTTGTTATGCTTAGAGTGCCTTGACTTGAGTCATATTTTAAATTTCAGAGGACTGTAACCCTAATAATAAGCAGTGAAATTATTTTGAGAATGAAGTATTTGTTTTAATGTTTGCAGTTTAATGATATTTCACAAAACTCTGGAGACCCTTATGCAATATAAACTTTTTGTGGACAGTTGCATTTTTAATTTTTGTTCCAATGAAAGAGCCCTTACATTTTTTTTCATTCCAAGGTATTTACATTTAAATCCTTAAAAACTCTTCAGAAATATTGCTTTAAATTCATTACGTTCAGTTCAGAGACTACAAGAACTGAGTAAATATTTTAATATTAAATTAGTATCAGTGGGGAGAAGAGGTCTTTTAGGCATTAATGACTGAAAGGTGTGGCAACTCTCTGAGCAAGAGAGGCTCTATAGCAGCCACAGTGAAGCTTCAGCTTTGTTTATTATTAATTTTAAAGGGCAAGAAAAAAGCCAAGTGTCTCCATTTGGGGTTACAGACAACAATATATCCAACTACTTCACCATGAGCACATTCCTCTCCAGAATTATCTGCTGGGGCCAGAGCAATGATCTCAAGGTTGGAGCTGTGATGTTGTTGACTCATGTGCATTTAATTCTATCAGTTTTTATTTAAATGCTCTGATAATATTTTTTTTAATTGAGCATAAACTCTGTAAGGTGATAAAAAGGCATATTTGGAATCTTTGTTCCCCAAGCTATGCAGGAACATTGTCAGTCAGACTTTGCTGGGTAGCCCCAAAGAGTATTTATTGGAGACATGCTGTTAGCAGTGGGCCCTTTCAGCTCTGTTTCATCAGAGTGAATTACTGAGGTCTGCTCTCCTGAGGCAAGGCTTGGAATATTAACTACAAAGCTGTTGTTTGTTATGCTGTTGATATTGTGAGGGATGATGCAGTTTCTATTAAGAGTCCCAGAGACTATGAATAAATTGTACTGGGGCCCTTTCTAGTTCTATTGATTATGAAACCCTCACAGCATCCAGCACATTTGACCTAATCTAATCCTCTGAACGTCTGCACAAATGCCAGGGGAGCTGCCAGGCAGACAGGAGTTGGCATTGGAGTGAGGGTAACCACTCAGAACTGGGTTTATCTGGACATTAACTGGTCCATACTGGATGTTAACTTGGATGTCCAGCAGGCAACCTGGAGTTTAAAGTTCAACCTGACCTTTTGGCTGTTCAGTACAATTCCATAAATCAATGCAGAGCAGAATTTAAAATTATTATTTTCAGCACAAATGCCAGGGGAGCTGCCAGGCAGACAGGAGTTGGCATTGGAGTGAGGGTAACCACTCAGAACTGGGTTTATCTGGACATTAACTGGTCCATACTGGATGTTAACTTGGATGGCCAGCAGGCAACCTGGAGTTTCAAGTTAAACCTGGCCTTTTGGCTGTTCAGTACAATAAATTAATGCAGAGTGGAATTTAAAATTATTATTTTCGTAATGCTGATAAAGAGCTTTCTCATTTTTCAGAAAGGTAGAGTGCATCTTTAGGTTGCAATTCATAAATCTTGAGTTAAATGAAAGGTAGAATTTGAGTTTTCAGATTTAATTTAGTATCTCATGTAAAGACAAAGTGGAATAGATCCACCTAATACACACACACTGCCACTGTCTGATTACCTGTTTCCAATCTCATGAAGTCAGCTCCATCTAATCAGGATTTGTGTTGTCTGCAGTGCCCAGACTCAGCCTGCAAGCAGGATCTGCTGGCCTACCTGCAGCGCATTGCCCTGTACTGCCACCAGCTCAATATCTGCAGCAAAGTGAAGGCGGAAGTTCAGAACCTGGGAGGAGAACTCATTGTGTCAGGGGTAAGCTGGGATTTGTGTTTAGCCATTTGTTTCCCATGTAGCACTTAAAAGGGAGAATTTTTGATTGCAATAATGTGCAAAACAAAAATCCACTGATTCATAAGCAAGTTTTTTTGGTTTTGTTTTTGTTTTTTAATTCTATCACCATTATTCCAGGCCTTACAATAACTTATGTAGAGCAATTTGATTTTCCAAGTACCCTTTGTTTATACTAACCTTGCAGAATCTTCATTCTTCCAAAAGAAAAGTAATTTCATAGCCTAGAAAGTCATTGCCAAGCTGTAAATATTGTAATTATTTGGAGCTTTTGTATATTTGCTCATTATAAATTTTCTTTCCTTTGTTACTACTGGTAATTTCCTTCATCTGTGCAGAAGCCAACTTTCTATGAAGTGCATATTGTTAAGATGGTGATGACTAATGGGATTCATTCACTCTGGTTCCAATGCACACTAGGTTTAGCAAAAGACTCTGGAAGGCCAGCAAAATACTTTAAATTCTAATGCATATACTGTTTTCAAGTACTATTGCAAACACAGTGATTATATACTCTAATACCACCCAGTTATTTCAGTTATGTTCAATGAACACTACAAACTTCTTACACACAACCTTTTGTAGAAATAAAGACAGGCAGCATTAATATTGTAAGCAGTGAGTTTTTTACATTTTTAAATGTATTTTTTTTCCTTCTCCTGTGTTGGCCTTTGAGCCTCTGGGAGTATGCTAGAATCACAAAGAACTAATGACTGTTCTTTGTGATTTTTTTTTTCTTTGACACTAGTTTAGCCCCATGACACTTTTGTTATCCTCTAACTCAAGTACAGACCATATGTATGTAAATTTGTAACATATTCCACTCTCCTGAGTGGTTTCAAAACAATAGTGATTTGTGAGACCCAAGATGCTGAAAACAAATTGTTTCCAAACATGGTTTTGAAAAAGCACCCTTTCATTGTTTAAGCCCAATCAAGTACGAAGATGATTAGGACAACAAACTTGTGCCCTTCATTCCATCCATGAGATTCCCCAGTGGCATCACTGGCCTTCCTCAAACATATCAGAAGTCACAGAAAGTGTTCTCAGTCACATAACATTTTTTTTTATTTTTGCAAAGCACTATAGAAGGTCTTAAACATTGCCAGGCTTTCTTGGATCAGGCATTCTGAAGTCATATACACAATCCTAAAAGGAGCTGCTTAAAGGTTCCTGTATCTGTCCTGCAATTGGTCTTCACTTCTTGACGTATGTACGTATGTAATTTTAACACCTTGATCTTCCCACAGCAATGAAAAGATCCTCTTCCATTTTCCTGACACCAGCGGCGTGATCTGTCCTTGTATCACTGACAGCTATTCTGCATCGTAATTGCTATGATCTTTTCTTACCTCCTGCCATCTGGGTCCAGCCTTTCATACCCATCGACTTGTCATGTTCATCTCTCTCAAACAACTCCCCGAATCAGTGCTTCTCCTGGCTTGGCTTTTGTGGTTGTGTGTGTTTCTTTTTTCGAGTCTCTTTATTCAGTGTTTGTGGATGCTGAATAAGCCATTGTGAGCCTTGCGCATCTCCTCGTTCCTGGAACATCCCCATCCGTTGTGGAATTATAAGTGGCCAAACTGCTTGAGTTCATCATTCCAGTCTGGCATTGTTGGCACCCGCTGCTTCCCAGGCTCCATCACCATTGTGTTTCTGTTTGGTGGGGTTTTCACAGTCAGTTTCAAAGGCAACCACAGAAAGTATTTAAGAAAGTATTTGGGTCTGTTCCAAAGACTCGGTAAAACTGACCTAGAGAAAATTTGAAGATTGCCCAGCTTGCTTCTTCTGCTGGTGCTCTGAGCAGGAGGAGGTATAGTGAGTTGAGCTCCTGTGCATCCCTTTGTGAGAGCATTATCTTGTGATCTGACATGCCCCAGTCAGTGCAGAGCTTTCCTGACAGTGTTTTCTGAGCTGTTGATCTTCAGGGTGCTGGGTACTGTATGCTCCTTTGCTATCCAGAGGTCTGGTATCCAAGTGCACATCCACATCTGCTTGTCTACTTGCTGCTTCTGCTTCCATCTTCTTCTTCATTCTCTCTTGGATAGCCAATTACAAATAAACAGTATTTTATTTATACTAAAATGAAATACCATTATTTGGCAACTTGCATACAGTACAATGTTAGAAGTATTATAGAAATCCAGAACTCAAGCTTCCCAACCTATGAGTACAGAAGTAAGTTTCTGTGATTGTGGTATATTGAAGTGTTTTGATGTAAATATCAAGCACCATGACAATTATTACAATATATTAATTTACTACTGTGTTTACAAAGAACCATGAGACAATTCAGTGATCCAAAAGATGACTTGCAATTCAGAACTATTATGGGGAGTAGGATCTCTGCTTAATTTTTTTCATTATTAAGAATATTAATCAATATTTAGAAATGAAATGAATGTATGCATATGTATGTTTGAATCTTTGTGTGGGTGTATGCATATTTATATATAAAGGAAAGAGACATAAAACCAATTAAAAGCTAAAAGACAGATGAAAGCCACCCCACAGTTCTTACAGTTTTGTTAGAGAAAAATATGTTGCAACAACTCCAGAAATACTGTGTACATAACATTTAATGTGCCGTATGTCTTTTGATGAAACTTCTTTTTCTTTTTTCTCTGTCCGAGATTCAGTAGTTCAGTATAGTTTACCTCTGAAAATAAGCATAAAGCTGATCTTGTTTGCTTTTTTCCTCTGTAGATTGGTATGATTCTAGCATAGCATATGAAGGGTCCTTTTTGGCATCAGTGACTTTGCTGCAAATAGGAAAACAGATGAAAAAGTAAGAAAATGTCACTGTCCTGAACTGTAAATTATTTCAGTAAAGAACCCACTGTTGTTTTTCTTTTTCTTTCTCCCATTCCTTTTCCCCTCTGCTCCTTTTCCTCCTTTGATCTTTCCTAATAAACTCCCTCCATGCAGATAGCAGAATTATTTTTATCAGTTGAGTAAGACCTGGCAATTGGGAGTTAGCACACATCAACTAATTCCACGTTAATATTAAGAGTGCAAGGACAATTTAGACTGTCTTTTGGCTCAGCCCTTTATTTTCCAAGGTGAGACTCTTAATTTCAATGGAGTTTTGAAAAGTAAAATAAAGAAAAACCCTGATACCAGTTCTTCAGTGAGGAGCCCTGGAAACCCAAAAAAAGATTGCAGGGAAGAAAATAAGCAAAAGTGGTGAGGAGGATGTTAGATAAAAGCAAAAAGAAATTAATATCAAAAATTAAAGCATATTTTAAAAATATTTTTAACTGTGTAGATGATAGCCGTGATCCTAATAAAACTCTCTTTGACCTTGGTCCATAAACAGATACATGTTTCTGTAATTTTAGATTTCAATATTCAATTTCTAGTTCCCCTCTGAGAATAAACAACCTCCTTTAATGAAATTACAGAGTAAAAGCACTTGAAAATAATTTGCTTTGTCTCTTGCTTTGGTTTATTTAAGGTAATGCATATTTGCTTCATAATCACTTGCAGTATTGTATTGGAATGAATCCTCTGAGGTGCTGAGAGTACACTGCTCTCAGTGAAGTAAATCCCATTTACATATACTTAACTCTTGCTGATGGCCTTGCCTTTTTGTGGGAGCTACTTTTGTTCAGTAGAGTTGCTTTTAATGATGTTTCTTATTTGGATTAAAAAAAATCAGACTTCTAACTCTAGGGCTGCTTTATTTTTCTAGCATTCCTGTCTGCCTCTTGTTAGCAAGGGAATGACAATAAAACAAATCTTTATATTCATTTCCTATTCTAGAATAAATATCCACTTGTTCTGTTTACTTCTGCTCAGAAGCTGATCAGCTCATTTACCTACTATCCATTTAGGCTGTGAGCTTGCATTTTTTAAAGTTCTTTTTTATGTTAGTAGATCTGCCACAGTTTTTCCTCTAGGATTAGGTTGAGCAGAATTTTAAAAAATCCCTTATCCAAGGCAGCTCCTTATCATGTTCAGGTTTGATTTAGAGACCTACAGATAAAATCAGCTGTATTATCAGAAAATTTGCTAGAGTCTTCAACTTCTGAACCAGACAGATATGCAGTGTCATACAGAGTAGCAGCCACGTGCCTTTAACACCGTCTAAAAATATGGAATTAATAGGTAAAACACACTCCAAACATACACTTTACCTGGATCCAGTTCCCAGTTATTTTCCAAGTGCTATTTATCTTAACATAATAGGCTAAGCTGAGATACCCAGAGAAGGATTCCTATATTCTGTTGAAGATACAAGACAGCGTAGGTAAGATTGTGAGTTTATCAGGGAGTTATTTTCTTGGTGAGTTTAAATGAGGAGTTCAGCAGGAACAGGAAGGTGAAAGGGCTGGAGCCATCCCATTAGTTTTGGGTGGGACATGATGAAAATTGATATAACACCTGGATTGGGAGGGTGGATGCATAAAAGGATGAACAAATACAGATATCCTGCAAAATAATTACATGCTTATTTGTGATCAGTGATAAGAGTAAGGTAACCAGAAAGAGCCAGTCCTCATCAAATATGGGTCAGCCTCATTATTTATCAGAGAAAAACAGTGAGCATCCAGCAGTTATTTCAGATGAGCTCATCAGCAGTTTTCCTATCAATTCTGCTTATGTGTCTTACATCTAATAAAAATGGCTTAAATATCCTACTTTTCTTTTAATTAAGGCTGAATCACTCTAAAGTACCTCACACTGTAAAAAGAAGTTGGTATCATGTGGGCAGTAAAGTATCAAGTTACTCCATATTAATTCTATAGACTCAAAGAAAAATCAGGTAGTTTGAGGTTCACCTGTTATTAAAAGTGATCAAGGCCATCTTTCACTGAATTTGGATGAAGAGCAGTTACTTAAGAGCCGCTGATGGAGTGTTTCATTTCCCTGAAACAGAAAGCCTTACTGGGTGTTTTCCTTTCTTTTAAAGTTGGCAATCAGAGAGAACTTTTGAATTTAAAATGCTTAAGAGAATGGAA